AGTATGCTTCTGTCTTGTTTCTTTTCTAAACATAGCTTAATTCCCAAGATTACTTCATGGTCAAAAATGGCCGTTTCAGTTCCAGCCATTACACCTGCATTCCAGCCACCAGGAAGGAAGGAAAGGGTATGACCACTTCCTGTAAGAAAAGTCCCTAATGTTGCATTTACCTGTTGACTAGATCCTAGACATGTGGCCATTTCTGCTGCAAGAGATGCTGGGAAATGTAGTCTTGAGTATCTATGTGCTCAGCTTAATATCCTATGGAAGAGTGGAGAACAAATATCAGGACTGACAAGCAGTGGCTGCCACAGCTGGGTGGGCCTCTGGCTCCCTGCAAACTGTCTCTCCAAATTTTATTCCTTTTTGCTTTAAGGAGGCTTCTCCTCCTGCCCCAGCCATCTGGTATTCGAAGAGTGGACCTGCAGGGGGTGGGCTGGCTGTGTCTGATTTCTGACTGTCCTGGGAAAACATGGAGCTGGACCCTCAGCTGCTCCAGAGTGAGCTCTGCCAGGAGGGAAGCGGGTGTAGCTGGGGGCTGTGCACTGAGGTCTGCACAGCCTCAGCGAGAATCAATTCATCTGAAGGTTTCCCCCAGCACGGAAGAGTCCCAGGTGTGAAGGCGGAGGATGGGGACGAGGTGCCAGGGAGGACTGTGGGTAACCCCTGCCCTTGCTAAGTCCACCGGGGGTCTCCTGGCTCAGCCGCTTTCTAGATGTTGTTTTCTCCTGGGATGCACACGCCTCCTCCCGTCAGATGCTAACAGGAAGGAGATCTCAGTTCTTACCTCCTGCCGGTGTTTCTCATCTTGCTGAATAGTGTCACTGCTCCTCAGCCTGCAGGACAGGGAGGGCGGTGGCACCTCTTGCTTTAGACTTTCCCGGAGGGTGGGACACCACCGGGCTCAGGAGCCCAGAAAGCAACCAGCCTGAACAGAGGCGCTGACTCCTTTCTCCCCTGGGTGGGCCCCCCTTTCCCACTCTCCCTGCGTTCTTGGTTCCTTCACCAGGGTGGCTGCTAGATGACACTCAGGTTCCGGACGTTCTTGGGGTGACTGAACAGACCCTCAAGGGGCTCTCATGAGGCCTCCCCACCACATCTTAGCACAGGCTTCCGCCCTGCCCCCCTTACTCCCGGGTCCCCTGTTGCATCTCTCCCCTCACCACCTCTCTGACCTCAGGCTGCTCAGGACCCCTCGCTTGGCCTCAGTCTCCTGTTCCCTTAAAACAGGGTGGATAATCCTGCACGGGCAGCCCCGTGCCCTCGAGAGGAAGCTGCCCAGCCCCAGATGTGGATTCGAGGGGCTCTTCAGACAGTTCTGTGTCCCAGCCGAGGCCACGGGTTTGCTCTGCCTCCTCCTTCAGGCTGTGCCCCACCCACCAGCATCGTGTGGATGCTGTGACCACATCTTCAGGGCAGGGCTGGTGCCAGCAGGCGAGGAGGCCTCTAACAGGCCGGGATTAGCCGGCCCCAGTCCTTCTCTGAATGCCCCCATCCCTGCTGCTGAAGGGGGCCTCTAGGCCCGGGTAAGGAGCCAGAAGCCCTGGCGGAATGAGGAGGCCGCAGGAGGTGACACCTGACAAGGACAGGCAGAGTCCACCAACCTCATTTCCCCAGGCGGTTTACGGAAGAGCTTCGCAGCGTCGGGCGCTGTGGGGCGGGGATGCTGCCATTTGGGCCCCAGTTTCTGGCGGGGGGCGGTGGGGAAAGCACAGGAAGCAGAGTCAGCCTGGGAAGCTCGCCGGCGCCTCTTGGCTGTGACAGAAGGCCCCGCGTGGCTCTGGGTCCTCAGGGGCAGGCTCCCATAGGGACAGGAGGTGCCAGGGCTGGGCCCTGGGGAAGGAGGGAGCTGCTGGGGGGATGTGGTGGAGGGCGGGTTACCCTCCCTCTCCGGGCCCTCAGCTCCGTGGATGCAGGAGGGCCCAGGTTAGGCCGCCTCTGTGCTTCCTCCTGGATTTGAGTCCAGTTTGTGTGGGGCTGTCTGGGAAGGGCCAGGAGAACCTTTGCGCCTCCACGCACCCCACCTGCAAGGGATTCAAGGGTGTTGGGTGCTTTTTTTTTTCACTCCGACAGACATACATGGTTTAACTTAATCTTCACAATGAAGCAAAACAGGTGACTTCATTGCCCTTTAGAGGTGAGGCCCTGGCTGCAGGAAGCTCCTCAGGCCAAGGGCAGCGTTTGCAGGCACTTTCTCTTCGGAGCCTCAGCGTCCTGAGTGGCGTGGAGAGGCTGGGACTCCATCCCCGCTGGATCTAATCACCTGAGATTTTCTGACCCGGGAGGGGATTTGGGCTGGCTTCTCTGAGGCCCGGGCCAGGAGGCGGTGAGGAGCTGCTGGAGACCCACTCCCTGCTCCTCAGCGCTGCGGAAGGAGACTCTGTGCCTCAGTTCGCCTTTCCCACGGAGCCAGGCCTGCATCCCGCCACGCACAGCGGAGGGGCCTGGGCAGGAGCTGGGGGCCTTCTCCTGCTGCCTCCCTCAGGCGTTCGGAAACCTGGGTGTCCTGTGAGTCTCTTGGAGTTGTGTCCTGCTTCCCGTACCCTCTACTGCCTGGCCTTTTACGAGGATCTTTTGCACAGCACAGGGCCTTGCTGTGGCCTGTGCCTGCCCTTCCTCCCTGGTTCCCCTTCCAAAGCCTGGGGAAAAGGAAATTGCTCACACCTATCCTCAGCCTCAGATGCCCTCCCCTCCCTGCCTTTCAAAGTCCCGCCCATCCTCCCAAGTTTCTCCTCAGTTCCCTGCTTCCACCCCACTTGGATGTGACCTCCCCACCTTGAAATCCCCTCTCCATGCATTATCTACCTCTTCTAATAGGACCATTTTTGGTCTTGGGTGTAGGTATTTGGAACCTGTCCTGAATTCTGCCCTAAACTGAGACCTTTGAGGTATAGGAGGCATCCCTCTCTGTTTCCCTAAATAAGGACCTGGCCCCGAGCAGGCACTCAGGGGCTATATGCTGAGGGAACACTGGTGGACACAGGGTCCCCACCTCCCCACTGTCCACCGAATGAGAAGTTCAGATCCAGAGTGTGTGCTCGTGGCAACGCGGTGGTAGGTCCACAGAGCTTTCAGGACTCAGGGTAGATGGATGGCCATAGACTTCGTGGATCAGCGCTCCTCTCAGTGCTGTTAGTGGGACACACTCCAAGTTCCAAATGGCCTAGTGTTACATAAGCTCACGGGAACAAGCTGTCTCGGGTGAACTCGGGGACTGGTTGCCTCGCCAAGCCCCAAGCCCAGGTGCCCGTCTGAAGACAGGCAAGGTGGGAAGCCCAGGAACACTCCCGAAGTGGGAAGCAGCAGGTGTGAAACGGAAAGGCGTCCAGCCCCTGCTCCTTGTCCTTTTAAATTAGAAAGGCCTGAAGCCGTCTCCCCACTCCACCCCTCCCTAGCCTGCCCCAGAAGGGCAGAGGACACTAGAAATTCCACTGTGGCTTGGACCGCAGCTGTCTGTTTCACTGTGTGTCCTAAACACTCTTCTCTGAACCTTGAAGGTCAATATCACACCGCTTCCGGGATCAGAAATAAAATAATCAATTGTTAGATCCACTTAGCCAAGGCCCACCTCTGAGCATGCAGTGAGGCAGCTCTCCCTTTCTCTTTCAAGCCGGAATCAATCTCTGCATAATTAACCCAGAGTCTGACTCAGTGTTTAATCTGCAGGTGTGTCTGCCCAAGGCCTGTGGCCTGTGGCCTGCGACCTCCTGGATTGCTGACCGCTGTCTGCCTGCTGCTTCTACTGATGTATTTTTCCAGCTCCGCTGGTGCCAAAACGCACCAGTTAAACACTGAGCTTCAGGAGGAAACGTGTATTTTGATATCCTCCCAGCCCCCGCTGACAGGAAACTCAGGATTGAAACAGACCTGTCTCAGGAACTTTCTAGATTTTGCTCAGCCATTCTTTTTTAGCACCTTAACTTATTGATAATACTTTTGGTGCCTAAGACTATTTATTTGGTGTTTTAGCATTAAAGCATCGTCTACTCTACATACAGAATTGTATACGTGAGCATACGCTTGATGCATCTGCACAGACAGAACACACCTGCTTAACCACTTGGTCGTTGTTAAAGTCCTGATTTATCCAAATACGATTTCGTCAGGAGGGCAAGCCCTACCTGTGGGTACAGATCAGAGCCCGTGTTAGACACAAGTCCTCATGCAAACTGGGAAGTAGGTTTAACTGTCTCGTGTACAGAAGAGGAAACGCAGGTTTAGACAGGTGGGGTCGCCGGGCTCGTAAGTCCGAGGGGCTGAGATTCAGCCCGTTCCTTTGCCTGCAGGTGTCGTCGGAGGTCCTGGTGCTGTCCAGCCAGGGATCTGGGCATATGTCTTCTCGGGTCAGGCAGCACACACTGCCTGCTGCTTTGCTGGGAGCATTCTCAGTCCACTGGGAAATCAGAGCCTGCATATAGCTATTCCCGGGTGACAGGTGACACTTCCCAGTCCTCTGTCCCTCCCTGCCACCTGCATTGCGCTGGTCCACCACTCAACATTTAACGACAGTATGGCAAGGACACTGGCCAATCAGAATGACACCAGGCATGCATAGTGCTGGAGCAGAGTCCGACAGCCCTGCTACATCAGGCACCACCCTTCAGTGGCTGGATGGTGGGGAGGAAGCCTTGGGGTAGATGTTGGGCTTGGCGGCGGGGGAGGGGAGAGATTCTCTCAGGCTCAGCAACTGTACAGAAGTACGTCAATGTCTCAACCACCAGCCTGGGCACCCCGATGCTTCCTGACCCACCGCAGCTCTGATTGGAGATTCTATGCGGAACACATCTGTTCCTTGCTCCCCAAGGAGCTTGCAGCCCAGCTGAGGAGACAGGCTACAGGATTACAATCAGAGAGGCTCGCACTTTGGTCTCAGCTGGTCATTTGTTTGTCTGTCCAAACATCATGTACCGCAGGCCAGCCACCTGTCAGCTACTGGGTGATGAGTATCAGAGGGCCTCTGTCATTGGGAGTGCACTGTTTACAAGAAGAAAGAGGTATTTGAACAAGTAACCACAGTGTTGTCTTTTATTTGGGTTGACATGCTGGACTGGAGATCCCTTTAGAGCATGTCTGTGGGGATTACAGAGCCTTCGAGCCTTACAAAATCATCTTCTCTAATTCCCCGTGTTTTGGGTGAGGAGACCCAAGCTCCCAGAGGAGCAGTTGCACGCTCAAGGCTGGAGGACGGGGGCAGAACCAGACCTCCTTGCCTCCCTCCCAGCCCCCCACCCAAGTACCACGTTCCTGATCCTATCCTGGAAGCAGCTTGGAGGAAATGCACAGACCCCTGGGGGTGATGTGGTGGCAAGGTGACAAAGGGACAGGTCACTACGCTGTCACAAGCTGATATGCAAGAGCTCACAGGTGTGACCCCCAGGGGCTGTGGGTGTAGGGGCATCTGCCCTGCCCTTTGCAGCAGCCCTAGTTCTGGTGGCCTCTTCATTTATTTGCTTAAGAACACAAAGCTGAATACACTGTTTTTAGGAAGTTCTATGTCTAAGTCACCTAAGTTAGTAAAATAAATAAAATCTTTGGAGTTTTGGAATGGTCTTCAGGTGCCCGCCACACCCATTTCCTTGGAAGTCCCTGTTTCCTGTCGGTGTCTGATAAGGGATTTTTCAGGAATTGAGCAGAGTTTTTCCGGGAGATGTCACATAAGAAACCTCACCCTGGGTTCCCAAGGCCCAGTTACATTGTAGCTAAATCACAGATTTACCAAAGTACACAGGGTCTCCTTTCTTTACCTCCACCTGCACACTTTTTTGAAGGAAAATGGGTTTTGGATGTAAGGGTCTCCCTGATTGTTCTATGCTCCCGGGGTTGTAATACTCTTTGAAAGCAGAGGTTCAGCAACCTTTAGTCAGGTTCCCCACACGGCTCGGGGGCTCTTCCCACCCTAAGGGGTGACCCACTTGCCAGGGAGTCCCGGGACTGGCTCAGCCCCTGTCCTGGCTGCCGAGAGCCCCTGCCTTTTTCTGCCGCGCTTGTGCTTCCGGGGAAATTCCAGGCTTCTCCGGAAACCATCTTAACTGCCTGGAATCCTCCTCTTGGACTTGTCCGGGCTGGCTCATTCCTGGGAGGAAAGGAAAGTAAATACATGTAAATCTGTTTGATCACAGACAGATTTATCTTTCAGCAGGAAGCTTCCTGAGGAAGGACAGCAAAGGGGTTTGGAATGAGTGAGCTCAAAGTATCAGCCCGTGTACGAGATGCCTGGGGGAGTCTGACTGTTGAGGCCGCTGCAGTCACACTGGGCCAGGCCCCTGCTGAGGCCCAGCACTGCACAGGCACCGGAGCCCTGCCCTTCTCCCTCAGGGCACCCCAGCGCAGTACCGCCCTCTGGCCCAGCTGATGGGCCTGGCCAGGCTCCCCTGGCTTCCCGAGTGGAAGAGGAGGAAATGGTCTCTGCCAGCAGACTGGCCGCCCTCCAGGAGAAGTGGGGTCTTCTTTGGGGCTGGGCAGGCAGTGCTGGGGTGGAGGGAAGGGCTTGGAAGCCAAACTCAGGTGTTCCCTGTGGCTGAGGTCCCTGACAAGGATCCTCCAACAGGGAGAATGCTGGTACCCTTCCAGTCTGGGCCTGGGTGTCACTTACCTGGGACACTTGTCACATCCGCTGTAAATCTCTGTCCTTGTCTGGCTCTGGCCAGAAACATTGTACGGCTTTTTGATTCTGAAGAACAGCCGGGTTTCCAGGAGTCTTTCCTGAAGCTCGGGAAAATCCAGTGGCTTCGGAGTAAAAGCCCATTTGCTAATCTGCACTGCTTGAGACACGCCATGGCTCTCCCTTAAACCCCACCCAGCAGACGAGGTCTGCTCTGGAGGCCCGAAAACACCTAAACTCACTGCACAGAAAACCAGCATCATACTTAGCCCCCCTTTTTCCTGACCTACAGTACCCCACCCTTCGACCCACAGTAGCACACCCTTTGGCCTACAGTACCCCATCCTTCGACCCACAGTACCCACCCTTCCTTCTGCTGGACGTTGGAGAACTCAAAGTTATTCTAAATCTCTCCAATACTCTTAACATTTTAAATCCAAATCCAGGCAATAATTCGATGTTTCAGCGACGTCCTTTGTGACTTACTCATTTCAGTTGATTTGGTTCTATTGATCCTTTTTTTTTTTGAGACAGAGTTTCGCTCTCATTGCCCAGGTTGGAGTGCAGTGGCGTGATCTCGGCTGACTGCAACCTCTGCCTCCTGGGTTCAAGCGATTCTCCCACCTCAGCCTCCTGAGTAGCGGGGGTTACAGGCGTGCGCCACCATAGCCTGGCTAATTTTTGTATTTTTAGTAGAGACGGGGTTTCACCATGTTGGCCAGGCTGGTCTCAAACTCCTGACCTCAAGTGATCCACCCGCCTCGGCCTTCCAAAGTTCTGGGATTACAGGCGTGAGCCACCGCGCCCGGCCTGGGTGGACTTTTAAATTGTGGTTCCTTGGAGCGCTCTCTGATTTGCTGAGGAAAATTTCTCATTTCCCGTTACTTATAAGAGACAGGCTCTGTGAGAGGGCTCCAATTTGCCAGCTGCTTCCATTTCACAGAATGAAATCATCCCGTTGAACTCATCAGTCTAGAACTACTTCCACCTCTGAGCTCTGGGGCCTGGACCAGCCCAGCTTACTTGACTGCCGAGGGCTTTGCTCCGTCTTGGGAGGGCTGGGGCCTCCCTCATCTGACCTGGGGCTTCCGCTGTGACGACTGAGCTAAGCTACCATGAAACTTCCCCAGAGTTGGCGCCGCGCCTCCCCGTCCCTCCAGCTTGCCACACCACTCGGGCTGAAGGATCCGCCTGCCCAACCCTGAACATCTCATCTTGGGTTGGTCTGCATAAAAATGGCCTGGGGAAAAAGTGATAGCCTCACAAATTATACACAGTAAAATGCCTCTGCATTATCTCGCTTGGAGAAAGAAATAATTGATACTGGGCCTAAGGCTTTGAATCGGAGTTTTATGGGGAGCTTAGAAGAGGGGTTCTCTGCCTGGCTCTGCAGGAGAATCACCTGTGCTCCCCTCTCCATTCTGATGGAATTGTCTGGGGGCTTGGGCATGGATATTTTTTGAAAGTTCATCAGATGGCTTGAATAAACAGCGCCAGGGTTTGAGAACATCTGGATTGGAGGGAAACGGGAAAAGAACATTGAGGTCAAATGGATGGGATTAATTATTTTTGCTAAATCAGGAAACTAGAGAGAGAGAGAAGTGACTTGACCACCGTTTTGCCTACTGTTGGAAAATTGAAGTTTCATTTTAACAAGGGCCATCTACACTGGGCTGGGTGTGAAGGGAAACTGGGATGTCAGGGCTGTAACGAGAAGCAGAAGAGAAGGGTCCAAGTCCCAACCCATAGCTCCTGAGAGAGAAGTGGGAGGTCAACATGGTGAAACCCTGTCTCTACCAAGAAACAAAAATTAGCCGGGCGTGGTGGCGGGCGCCGGTAATCCCATCTACTCAGGAGGCTGCAGCAGGAGAATCGCTTCAACCCGAGAGGTGGAGGTTGCAGGGGAGGTGGAGGCTGTGGTGAGCCAAGGTCGTGCCACTGCACTCTAGTCTGGGCAACAAGAGTGAAACTCCATCTCAAAAAAAAAAAAAAAAGAAAGATAAAAGTGGCGAGGTTGTGGAGACAAGGGAATCCTTGTACGCTGTCGGTGGGAATGTGAATTAGTACAGCCACTGTGGAAAACTGTATTGTATTGTTAAAAAATGGAAAACAAAACTAGCAATCCCACTACTAGGTATGTATCCAAAGGCTATGAAATCAGTATGTGGAAGAGATACCTGCACCCCCATGTCTGTTGCAGCCCTGTTCACAGCAACCAAGAGACGAAACAACCAAATGTCCATCAACAGATGAATGCAGTAAGAAAATGTGGTACATGTTCACAATTAAACACTATTTGGCTGTAAAAAGGACATTCTGCCATTTGTAACAACGTGGATGAACCTGGAGGACACTATGTGAAGTGAACTAAGCCAGGCACCGAAAGACAAATACCGCACAATTTCACATGTGGAATCTAAAAGAGTGAAACTAATAGAAACAGAGTAAAATGGTGGTTAACAGAGACTGAGAGTGTGTGTGTGTGTGTGTGTGTGTGTGTGTGTGTGTGTGTGTGAATGGGGGAATTGGGGAGATGCTGGTCACAGAACACAACATTTCAGTTAGACAGGAGGAATAAGTTCAAGGAGCCTATTGAATGTCATGGAGATTGTAGTTAATAACAATATGTCGTATACTTGAAAATGGCTAAGAGACTAGATTGTAAGTGTCCTCACCATATAAAATGATAATATGTGAGGTAATACATATCTTAACTTGATTTAGGCATTCCACAATGTATACAGATATCAAAACATCACGCTGTACACCATCAGCATATGCAATTCTTACTTGTCAGTTAAAATAGTTTACTATTAAAAAAACATAAAAACCCTACTGCAATCCCCAACAGCAAGCACTACACATTCCAGGAAGCAGAGCAACTATGGACATTCCTCCTTCTCAATGCAACACAAATACAAATGGATAATCCTAGAAAGCAGAAATGCCTATTATTCAAAATTAAAACCAACAAGACCAAATTTTAACTATTCTAACACATTTTGGAAGTTCCAAAGATCATAAGTTATAATAATGAAATATATATAATAAACATAACGAAAACCTTTATATAGGCTTTAATAATATATAAATATGTAAATTTAAGGAAAATCTTACATTTTATAATATATGGGTGATGCAGTTTAAGTTGTGTTTATAGGAAAATTTATAGTCTTGAATATTTATGTTAATAAAAAACAAAATAGATAAAACAAGTATCATACTCAATAAGTTAAAAAAATATATCCGAGAATGGAAAAAGGAATAAATTGATAAATGAAGAAGTTAAAGATTAGGGAATCTCTAGATTATAAAAATGATACAATAGGCCGGGCGCGGTGGCTTATGCCTGTAATCCCAGCACTGTGGGAGGCCAAGGCAGGTGGATCACTTGAGGTCAGGAGTTCAAGACCAGCCTAGCCAACATAGTGAAACCCCGTCTCTACTAAAAATACAAACAATTAGCTGGGCGTGGTGGTGGGCACCTGTAGTCCCAGCTACTTGGGAGGCTGAGGCAGGAGAATCTTTTGAACCCGGGAGGCAGAGGTTGCATCAAGCAGAGTCCACACCATTGTACTCCAGCCTGGGTGACAAGAGCAAAACTCTGTCTAAAAAAGCAAAACAAAACAAAATGATAAAGGAAGTAATAAATCTGCACTCTGAACATCAGGAGACGGAGCTCTCAGGTAGCGGTGTCAGGAGCTGCCCACCACACCGAATCATTAGGAAACCACCACACATTTGAAAAGGTAAAAGGCCCGGAGGCCCCTTCTCTAGTTACGAAGCAATGTGGCTAGAAAACAAACCATTTGTCAAGTAAAACCACAGTAACAAGAACCTATATATCCCAACCCAAGGGATACAACCCAAACTGTACTCAGAGGAAATGGTATAGCATTAATTGTTTATATTGTTTGATAAAAAGAATAAAAATTAACCCCAACTTCATCTAAAAAGGTGAATCCTCCTCTACCTCCCCAACAAAACAGACTTAAGGAAGGAATTGGCAATGACAAAATGAAGAAATCAATAAGGCAGAAAATATTAGAATTGATAAACGAATCCAAATCCCTTGGAAAAAAAAAAACCAGTGAAACAGATTTCTAATGGGGTTAACTAGGAAAATAAAGGGAGACATATCTAACATTAGACTTGAGAAAGGGGTTATCGCCATATAAGCAAAAGACATCAGTTTCAAATGAATGAATATTATGCACTATATTTGCTAATAGAATAGAAAATCTCTGAAATTAGCAATTACAGATTACAGAAACAAGAGGGAACACAAGCAGTCAAATAGATTTCAAAGAACAGCTGAATGGGTGAATTTGATCAAAACTTCCAATTATAATTCTTGTGCCGTTTAGTTTGTCCCAGAGCACAGAGAAAACATCCCATTTGGTTCTGTAATGATAGCATAACCCTGATACTCAAACTTTGATCTTCAGCTCCTCCTCTTGGACAAAGGCTCTCTCCTTAGACTGGTTTCTTCTGCTTGTTCTCGGCATTCACTGGTGACCCCCAGGCCTGCCCCTGTTGGAAGGGGACAGTGCCACAGAGCCACAGCTTCAGAATCTGTTCCTTTTTCAGGATCTCCTGCCTCTGCCGTGGGGCTCAGCAGGAGAATTTGGAAGGATGGGGCGTGAGCTGAGGGTTTCTGCTGCCTGGGGCACCTTCTTCTACCTTTGCTAACAAGAGTGTGACTTAGTTCAGCCTGGCAGGGATCTGTGGGACCCTTCAGCTCTGCCGGAGAGTTAGGAATGCTGCAGACACATCCCCTCAGTCTGGTCAGAAAGGTTGTTTTAATGTTTTTATAGTCCTAGCACTTTCGAAAATAAATGAAAGATCTCAGAAGAAAAGGTACTTTTCAAGTAGGTTGGAGGGGTAAGATGAGACTGAGAAAAAGAGGAAGCAAGTTAGCTGAAATACTAAGTATTCCTGTTAAAACTGATTCTCCAGTTTAGTTCTAAGCTTCTTGGCAAGGCATGCTAAAAAGTGAAATGCAGACCATTACGTAATAGAAGCATATTTTCTTAGGAGAGATTGTACTTCTGCCGCCACTAAATTCTAAAATTATTTTTCACCTAGAGTTTACTGAAGGAAAACAGGGGCATATATAGACCAGCTCTTCAACAGAAATCCCATAGCGAATGTGGAAAATGAGTTCTGGTTTCTTGTAGTGACTGTCAAGAAAAGCCCAGAGCAGAACATC